GTTTACAGTCAAACATTTAATCAACTCATAATTGTTATCTCATTCTCAAACAGTTGAATATATGTGAGGTCAGGAGTTCAATCTTATTAATTCTATCATGTCTTTCCCCACTCTTTGCTATATGAGTAGGAAGGGGCTGTGGTGGCTGAGTGGTCTACTGTATCACTGACTAGCCTGTCCACACTGAGTTTGTGAGTTCAAATCCTGCATGTGACAGGTGCACTTGACTCCAATCTTTATTGAAATGGATTGTCCGTTTTCCTGCCGATGGTTGGTGGTTGTCTTCATACACACAGGCTTCTTTCACACCCCCAAAAAACAACAAAAAAACTGACTGCCTCAAAAGAGTCATTGAATTTTAAAGTGTTTTGGTTTTGGTTTTGGAAAAATGAAAGAATTTATCTGATGGTCAATAAAACATCACACTTTCTCAATTTGATAATTTGAGTTATCTCCCTTCTATTAAAATTAACAATAATGATTTGACAATTCACACCAAACATGTTAGGATAGATTAGAAATAAATATAATAAAATATGATATTTTGTGTATTATTTGGTGATGACAGAAAGCTTGTCAATCAGCTTTGTGACTAACTCCCATCATTATTATCCCATAGCTGTAAACTTTAAATTATCTGTACTTCCGAGGTGAGATCATCGATGAAGGTATAACTCGCTACAGGTAAAATAATTGGAGTAATCACTTATATAACAACTTGGAAATAAGTCTTCTGGAGGCTGTTTATAATTTTAAACCCTTTGCTACTGTATGCATAGTTTAAAACTATATATATATTGTATACATGTAGTAAATCCTTAACGAGTCAAAAATGCAATTAAATGTTACATAATTTGTGGTCAGGCATTGTGGTCATAAACATTTCAAGTATGTTATCGTATTCAGACTCAGAATACAGAATTCAACCAATCACAACATTTGATTTGGTGTTTTGAACACAAATTTTGCACTCCCAGTCCCAAGTACTGAGTAAAGTTTTATGACAGAGATCGCAGATCTGGTAGTATTTTATCAACAGTTGAGAACATGGGTATTATTGAGTAGACAATACAATTCCTATCTCAGACACATTTTCATGTTTATTAGTGACAACCCAACATTTTTTTTCTTGGCCTAATAGGCAGTCAGGTCTGGTAGTATTGGTTTTATCAACAGATAAGAACATGGGTATTTTATTTGTAAACAATTAAAATTCCAATCTCTGTCTCATTTTATGGTCATTTGTTTCTGATCTTAATCAGTGAGACAATATTGATATAAGGGAGATAATTGATTGACTTTATAATGGAAATGGCGACAAATTGTCACTTGAATTATCATACCATTAAAACATAAAAGACGTGACTGATAAAATTGTTAAGTAAGAAACATGTTAGAACTTTCTTGTTCACTTTCTGATCCTGAACTTTAGACAGATCATTGAATATTTCAGATAATACTGAATAAAAACAACAAATTATAAACTTTAATTTTGCTGTCAGGCCTCTTTGTTTCTAGTTATCTCAGTCATTTATTCTGTTTGTGTGAAATGCTTCATTGTTATTTATATAAATTTAGATGTTCAATGAAGTACAAATTTCTTTTAAGGGAAGCTTGTATGCAGACTTAAACAAAATTACAAAATCAAATATCCATAAAAATTCAATTTAAAAATACGAAGATGTCGTATTATTGTCAACTAGACAACTCTCCAAAAGACACCAAATGACACAGAAATTAACAACTATATGACAAATGTAAAACAATTTAATCCAAGAAAACAAACAGCTTCTTTTTTTTAAATCACTCTCATTATCTTCAGTTAAATTGGACTTAATACTGTGAGACAGACCACTAAAGCTTGTTTCTAATCTAGATACTGTCGATTCATTTATTTTCCGCGGCACCAACTTTCGACGAAACTTTATATTTTCTTAGATAATTTTCTTAAAAATTATTGAAAGACAAATAAAAATTTCAATTTTTTTTAATGTGTAGGCAAATATAATATCACAAACTTTCCTTCATCCTTAATTTCCATGAGTAGTTATTAAAATGTTAAAATAATCAAAATTTCAATTAATTTCATTGTTCCTGTTCTGGAATGGTAATATCAGAAACTGGACATTTTGTGTATTATCATCTCTACTGTTATTACAAACTCAGGTTTTTTGTTTTAAACATCTGTTTGTTAAGTATTATTATCTGACCCTTTATCAGCATTAGGTGACAGATTTACAGCTTTAGTTAACCATTTTATAATTGAGAGAAGATATGAAAATTTCACTCTGTAGGGTTTGGATGCAAGACTGAATAAAAGTAACAGTTCAAAATCAATGTAGTTTAATTTTATCATATCTAGTTGCACATTCATATTAGTCCTCTTGTCAGAAAAAAAACCAGTTTGATATTTAAATAATAAAAAAAGATTTTTTTTATATCAAAAAGGAAAAGAAAGTTATTATTTCAATTTAAAATGTACTCTGTTATGTTTGTGAAATTCAGTGGTTAAAATTCTCATTTAAAAGATATATAAATTTAACACAGTTAAGCTTGGACATAGTATAGTAGTCCCAGAGTTGAGCAATTTTAATTAATAAATTGCACAATTAATATACATGGAAATATATACATTAATCAAGTAGATCTAATCAAAATCAGGTAACAATGTTATTGATGTATATTTTTTAGAAGCAATATCTGATGAAAAAGGTCCAACAAAGGCCCTGCAACTGGGATTTGAATTAGCTCTTAAAGAAAGAGATCATGCTCTGAGGCAGCTCCAGCAAGTGAAGACAGAGAGAGATTCAGCTTTAGCAAGTCTGGACAACATTGAAGGCAAGAATAAAACTCCAAGGTAAAAAAAACACCTCCACTCTCAGTTCACAAAACTTCCATGCATGTCAAATAAATAAATTATGAAATTAAAACAGAATCAAATCATGTGAACCCTAAGTGATTCAGCTTCGAATTGGAAATAGGTACATGCATGTGCAGTTAAATTTTGACAGACCTTTGGTTTTTTTATTGTCATATAACTGCAGTGTTACTGCACTACCTAATTATAACTTCAATAGAATATATGATTATATCTGTTTTATGTATACCATTCTTGCACAGGAACATTTTATTGCTATACAGATCCTGTGTACAAGCTTTGCTTACAAGGATCTAATAATGAATATATGTTCTGATTATTATATAGACAACCAATGAAATTATTGCCTGCAAAATATTGAAGGTGAATACATCATTATTTCCTAGTATGAAGCAAAAATCTTGCAATCTGATGGGTTAATTACCTGGGTGCTAATAGCACATCACCCAAAATAAACTACTTACACCTGGGGATAAAAAACATATTACTATGCGCAGCAATATAAAATGGTACATTTACATAAATTGCCAGGAGTATAAACAATTAAAAAGTGTAATATGGTATATTCATTTTTATATTAAAATTGTAAAAAAAACAAACTAATTTTATTTTTTTTTTGCTTGCCTAGTCAGTAAAAGATAAGTAACTTTATTTATTTATGTCTGCTAAGATGGCTAAGAAATGATTAGTTTGTTAAAAAATGAGTAAAGGAACAAACGCTTCATAAGAAATGAATATTTTATATTGGTGTAATCTGGTGTATTGAATTTACACTGGTGTAGAAAATTCTGTACACCCCTAGGCCTGATTACACCAACATAACTATTATTACAACAATTCCCGAGGACCCCAAAAAGTTCTTATAGGTGAAGTGATCTGTGTTGTAATCAGATTGTGTCCTAGAAGTCATGTAAGTCATAAGCTGTTATTGTTGATTTTCAGTAAATCATCGGACAGTAACCAGGAAAACAGATCAAAGTCTCCGAGTCGTAAACCCCGCAGTAAAAGTATGGAAAGTGATACCGAAATCGATGAAGTAAGTACAAAATGTTTTCAAACTAACTTTCAGCATGTTGTCATGACTATCATGACTATGCAAGAAATATATACCATTTGACCTAAAGAAACCAGCATTCTATTCCTCAATCAGAATATATGCTCATAGACATTGAATATGTGTCAGAATTTATAACACCATACAATAGACTATTTTCATATTACTGACTTTTTCCCTATGATTTAATTTATGTCACACACAGATATAAAACATAAAACAATTAGTTCTTTCCCCAATTGCACTGCTTGTAAGCTTGATTTTAATAGTGTAAGTTGCTCTTACATGACCAAGTACCAGAAAGTCCTAACACAGAGTATGTAACCTGTCGAAAATGATGAATGAAAATGAAAAATAAAATTGTTTTTAAGACGCCTAAAAAATTTCAGCCTCAAATGGCATGATTTAATCCATGTTGGCTCAATCTATGCTAATCTTATTTACTGTAATAAATATTTGAAAAAAAAAATTTGGCATATATGAAAGTGAATGTTAGACATGTTAGAAATGACTTGTGATAAGTTTATCTTTAATGGTAATTATTGTGGCAGTATTTTTACCATTGGCCATCTGATAAGGAGGTCTGTTTATGTATAATTTAAATATTTGTTATCTAAATTGAAATCACATGAGAAGGCAAGAAAATTATAGAATAATTATATCTATCCATTAAAATTTAAACTACCACCATTTTTCTCATACCTGTGAGGACAGATATTGTTACAGCTTTGGACCTAGAATCGAGACTGAAAAAAGAGCAGAAAACAGTCCACCAATGGGTCTTCGATGCAGGGAGAGGCGGGCTTCAGCTGGCCCTTATACAATAATGTATACTAGTTCATTAAAATGGATGCCACACTTAGCTCTAAAACATATAAATGAACCAAAATTTAAAAAAAACATACAAGACTAAATGGTAGTATGTATGTCCAGTTTAATGTGAGAAACTTTTTATTCCTTTGTTGAAAAATAAAGGTAAAATAAAGCAGTGTTCTCCCAAATATTTTCAAATACTGCCATAGGATATAAAATATACTGTTTCAGTAAAATTTAGTCACTGTATATATGATATAGATTACATTCTGATACAAAACAGTGGCGTAAGAGTGAACTGAAAAGAAGGTTGGGACTTCTAAAAGTGGGCTCATATATGCCAGTGCAAAAATCTATTGATATAGCACCATGGTACTGTGATATTCTAAGGCACTGGGGAGAACATGTAAAAGGGAAAAATTTATAAAAATATCTGACTGACTGACCCAACCATAGGTCTGGATTGAGGGGTCTTTATAACCATAGGTGAAGGTCTGGATGGAGGGGTCTTTATAACCATAGGCATAGGTGAAGGTCTGGATTGAGGAGTCTTCATAACCATAGGTGAAGGTCTGGATGGAGGGGTCTTTATAACCATAGGTGAAGGTCTGGATTGAGGGGTCTTTATAACCATAGGTGAAGGTCTGGATAGAGGGGTCTTTATAACCATAGGTGAAGGTCTGGATTGAGGGGTCTTTATAACAATAGATGAAGGTCTGGATTGAGGGGTCTTTATAACCATAGGTGAAGGTCTGGATTGAGGGGTCTTTATAACCATAGGTGAAGGTCTGGATTGAGGGGTCTCTATAACCATAGGTGAAGGTCTGGATGGAGGGGTCTTTATAACCATAGGTGAAGGTCTGGATGGAGGGGTCTTTATAACCATAGGTGAAGGTCTAGGATTAAGGGGTCTTTATAACCATAGGTGAAGGTCTGGATGGAGGGGTCTTTATAACCATAGGCATAGGTGAAGGTCTGGATTGAGGAGTCTTCATAACCATAGGTGAAGGTCTGGATGGAGGGGTCTTTATAACCATAGGTGAAGGTCTGGATGGAGGGGTCTTTATAACCATAGGTTATGGTCTGGATTGAGGGGTCTTTATAACCATAGGTGAAGGTCTGGATTGAGGGGTCTTTATAACCATAGGTGAAGGTCTGGATTGAGGAGTCTTCATAACCATAGGTGAAGGTCTGGATTGAGGGGTCTTCATAACCAGTGTTCCCGCCTGCCCTAATTAGAAGGGCGGCCCGCCCTTGGTGCCCTTACCCCCGCCCTTCTGCCCTCCAAAGTAAAAGAATGCACCCCTCTGCCTTTTCAAAGAAATAAAATTTCCGAATTTCATGCCTACCGGCGTTTCCGGTAAAATTGTTACCTGATTGTGTAATACTAATTAACTGACAATGGGATTAAGTTAAATACCTAATGCTTTGGCAGTTTTATCACCTTTGTTAATGATTGTTTACTGCTAATTAGTGGATTTAAGATAATTGAACAAATACTAGATATTTAATACAGAATGAAATGTCCACATGTTATCCATTTGTAATGTTTATGTACAGCATGTACATCTGAAAAAATTTATTTCAGTAGGCATAACAAAAAAAAAAATAAAATCTTAAACAATTTTATAGCATACATAGTTTTGACTTAATGCATTGGTTAAAAATGTTTTGTTTCATAACCATGAGTATGAAATTTAAAGAAGAATCAAAGAAATTTGTACTTTGAACATAACAAGATTCACTTCCTGTTTTACTTCTTGTATTTTATAATCCTCCTGACATAGGAGCACTCAACAAATTTATTTTTAACAATGATGGAGAAAAAAGTAACTGTTTATACCTTCTGCAATATATTATTGCATCAATATAATATGATCATCTACAGTCTCACCTGTTATATTTATAAAACTCCTTACTGAGGAGCACTTTGGTGTGCACTTAAAAATACTTTTTTGTAACAATTCAAATAGCATATTTACTATATGTTTGAACAAGTAATTTAAATGTAGATAATTTAATTACATTAAACATTCAATTTTGCATGTATAACTCCATCTTTCAAAACTACTTGTTTATTTTTATAGACTGGTATAAGTTATAAAACATTAAAATTTCTGATGATTATTTTCCTTACCAAATGTACAAGTTTGTTTACATGTAGATTAACATCAAAATGATATGCTTTGCTTCATGGTATGATAATTTGATAAAAAAAAAAAATTCTTACTGGAACCAACATCAAGGACACATTAATTTCTGAATATGGTTTGAATACAACTAATCTTCTCCAGCTGAGCCTAGCAATATTCAAGGTTACTTTATACACTGTCCAACAGTGCCCTTAAAATCTGGGTTATAACGCTAAAGTGCCCTTTCAGACAACTAGCACCCTTTTGCCCTGAGATTCTGGCTGGAACACTGATAACCATAGGTGAAGGTGAAGGTCTGGATTGAGGGGTCTCTATAACCATAGGTGAAGGTCTGGATGGAGGGGTCTTCATAACAATAGGTGAAGGTCTGGATTGAGGAGTCTTCATAACAATAGGTGAAGGTCTGGATTGAGGGGTCTTCATAACAATAGGTGAAGGTGTGGATTGAGGGGTCTCTATAACCATAGGTGAAGGTCTGGATTGAGGGGTCTCTATAACCAAAGGTGAAAGTCTGGATTGAGGGGTCTTCATAACCAAAGGTGAAGGTGTGGATTGAGGGGTCTTCATAACAATAGGTGAAGGTGTGGATTGAGGGGTCTTTGTAACTATAGGTGAAGGTCTGGATTGAGGGGTCTTTATTTCTTTATTTATTGAGGCATTATTCTGTAATTTTGATTATTTTGGATTTTTCTCATTTCTATTTATTTTAGCTATAGCACCCCGTTATTATATCTATTCTTTATTTGTTGGTCCATTTTCTCTATTTATTGTTTCTATATAAAAATATAAAATTAGGAAATATGGTATGATTGCCAATGAGACAACTATTCACCAGAGTTAAAATAAAGTGGATGTAAGCAATTATAGTCAACCGTATAGCTTTCATCAATGAGAAAAACCCATACTGTATATAGTCGGCTATGAAAAGTCTGGACATTAAAAATGAGAAACAATTAAAAAAAAAAAAACCCTGTAATGCTATTATGCCCATTCTATTCTATATTTTTATCCTTAATTTTGGGCCCATGATTCTCTAATTTGTAAACCCCATCCAGACCCTCATAGATGATCAAGTCGGATCAGGGTAATCAAAATGATGAATGAGACAAGAAAATTGAACTAAGAATTCACACTTTTATGTGAACATGTAAAAACATATTTAATACTATATAAAGGTGATGTCCTTTGTACATGTTATTCTTAAATTAAATTCTTCAGCACTGAACAATTTTACTATATTATAAATCAAATTTAAAGACGTTTAAAAGGAGAATTTGAAAGACCGTAGAGTGTGTTTGATTTGCTATGTCAATACTGTCCAAATCCTTTGTTGTTAGTGGTAGACTGTAGGGTGAAGTAATTATGAGTCAAAATGTACTTTGTTGTCATACTGCTTATCCGTAGAGTAACGGAGGAATTTTAACAATGTACTAAAACGGTCATATTTAAACAAAAGAATTGTTTTCTCATACTGTTTATAAGAAGAGTTACTGAGGAATTATAGCGATATATAAAAACAGTCACCTTTAAAGGAAGAATTTTTGTTTTTTGCCAATCTTTTGTGGACATGCTTTTCATTCCTTTTTATCCGTAGAGTAACAAAGGAATTCAAGCCATGTTTTAAACATTTATTATACTTATTGTTCTTAAAAGAACTGTATAGTGTAGAGTAATAGGAATTCTTGTGATGTCCAAGGTTGAACTGTATATGAGGAAAATTTGTTTTTGCCAATCTTTTGTACAACAAAGAAATTTGAAGATGGACCTGCCAAAGTTTGATGATCATTCATTGTGTTCAGATCTATAATACAAGTGTTCAAATCTCTATCATTGGCTCAACAAAAGTATTTGAGTGAAGAATGTTAAAAACTTCCTTGGTTCGCCTTTCTTTATTGAGCCTTTATATGCACTGATAGAAAAAAGCTAATTGTGAATACCTTTATAGTGTTTATACATGTATGTACCAATAGACCAAAGCATAGCAATAGCTGTTTAATTCGTTATAGTGTTTATATGTACCAATAGACCAAAGCATAGTAATAGCTGTTTAATTCGTTATAGTGTTTATATGTACCAATAGACCAAAGCATAGTAATAGCTGTTTAATTCGTTATAGTGTTTATATGTACCAATAGACCAAAGCATAGTAATAGCTGTTTAATTCATTATATCAGAGTTCTGAAACATATTGATTGACTAAATAGATGGTGATTGCTACATGTGATATATAAGAGGATAGAAATACATGATTTCTATAGAATCAGAATAGTATTGTATCATTTGTATTCTACAGCAAATAGCTGCAAAAATAGTATTGTATCATTTGTATTAAACTGAAGATCAAAGACATCGCTACTTCACACCATTATTCTGACAGCAAATAGCTGCAATTAAATTGTTTGCAAGAAACAGGATAAATTCTTGTTCATGTTACCATTGTTCTATGTTGATTAAGACTGAATTTGAACAGTTATATAAGTGCATGAACAAAACATCCCACTAAAGATTCCTTGTAAAATCTATTTATTTTACGATTATGTTTATTACCTTCCAAGTATAGACAAGCTAGGCTTTGATGTCTAAATATTTTGATGGTAAAATTAATTAATCTTGAGACAAACTTAATTAGGTGGTAAAATTGTCACATGGTTCCTGTTTAGTTGTGTCATAATCAAGTGGATGTTTTAAGTACCTAAATATTTACTTAAGTTTAATAACAGTTGTTATAACTAGATGATCATCAGAACAATAATCCAGCAAATATCAGTAGATATAAAGATTAATTTAGGCCACAAATTTGACAGGTTCATAGTGGAGGTATACCTTCAGACTCTAAAGATGTATATGTTGGAATAAGTTTCATGACTTTGTCTTTGGACCTGTTTTTACAAATAAGACAAGACAGGATCAGGCCTCAGGTAAACCTCAGGTTAACCTCTGGACACTTCTCAAGACACTTCTCAATAGATCTACATGTACATTGGACTATTTTTGTGGACCTAGGTTCTCCTGGAATTAAGGGCACCTATTTTGCCTGATTGTTGTGGATTCTAACCTATCATTTTATGTAAGGCTTTTCCTCAATGGAATTAGAACTTATCATATGGCATGTATGGATCAGACTGAATTGAAAGGAAATCCAATACTGGACAATTTTGATTGAAACTTACTGAGTTCTGCTCGACAATTTTTTTTTTATAGACTACAGAAAGTTAAATTACTGTGTAATGAATGAACAGGATATTACTTGGACTGATTTGTACAAAAAAAATGGTTGGAAAATATATATATCATTTGTAATTTTGGAAATATATTTGGTTCTGACAATTATTTATATTTATGAATTTGAGTGCTACTATAGGAGGATAGACTGTTATTTATGATCTGCTATACGCATATTCTGGTTGTCCCAAATGAGGAAATCTGCATTTGACATTTAAAATTTAATTGTGATTAATTTGTTTTAAAATTTTTTTCGAAAAATAGTTTCTCTTGAAGAAAATCCATAACTACTTGAATGAAGGAGAAACTTTGATATTTATTAAAACTGTTACATTTGAACAAGGACATTAAAATATACATGACTTATTTAGTATAGGATCGTTACTTGGAGATTGAATACATAGATGTCGTCCATTTATTCAAAGTTTTCAGATTAATGGGACTATATACAGCGAGAGAAGTTGAACAAACGATTCACGATTCACGTACAAATAAATATTTCCTTTATTCATGGCTTTTTACTAGATGTTTGTAATACAATGAAGAATTGTTGTAAATTGATATTTTTGTTACATTGAATGGAAATTAACAGTACAAATTGTCTGGTCTTACAAATCAACACGTCAATTTTACAGTAGAATCTAGAATATTTTACCATTAAATACAGGAACACAAAATTTGATGGCAAATAACTGTTTATCATTCTACCAACGAAAAGTTCTGAGTATAAACTTGATTTGTTAAGTCGGTGTGAAACCATCTATTTCTGGTTTCGTAACAATACATACATGTGTTTTATTTGTTGTAAAGGACATGATTGAACATAACTAA